TGGAAGCGGGAGAAGGGGTCAGTAGAGGGAGGGTTAGGTTCACGGTTGAAGAAGTAAGCGTGGAGGCGGCGGAAAAACTGCTCTATGTCCAAGCGTGAGCGGTATTCGTTGATGTGTGGGTGGAGGGGGACAAAGGTGAGCCCTTTACTGAGGACTGACCATTCGTCTTCAGTAAGGGGTAGGTCTGGGGGGATGGTGAAGATTCAGCAGGGCTGGGTGCTGTTGTCCCCTCTGGAGCTGCTGGCTGTGGAGGCTATGGGCGGAGCGACGTCGGCGTCGGCGGTGGGCGGAGTTGCGTCGGCGTCAGTGGTGGGCAGAGTTGCGCCGGCGATGGGCGGAGTTGCATCCGCGTCGGTGATGGGCGGAGTGGCGTCGGCAGTGGGGGGATCGGGGTGGGCGGCGGCAGTAGCGGTGATGGTAGGCGCGACTTCAGTGTCGGTGGTGTTGGTCTCGGAAATGGAGGCGGTGGCAACGCAGCGATGGTGTTCGCTGTCCCGGAAGTGGGGAACGCGGCGGTGGCGGATGTGACGTCATCTGTGGGTTCTCCGATAGTGGCCTCATGGCCAATGGCGGTGGGCACATTGTGGGGAAGGTCCTGGGTACGGCTGGGGATTTGGGGGGTGGAGGAAGCCCGTTTTGGGTGGTAGGCACCAGTAAGTTTACTGTACTTACGGTTTTTAGTATCCAATAAAGCTGAGTAGAATTGTGAGTTCAGGTTGTGGATCCTACGAAGAATAAAAAACAGGAGAGGTCCTTTGCAGGTCTGGGAGAGGGAGGCTCTGAGCTGGGGTAGGCTTGATTGTAGTGCCTGGAGATGCCGGCGCATTGCTGCAAGTGTGTGTTTCAGGAGTCGCAGGGAGAAACACTTCTGAAGGATCTCAATGCCATGAGTGTAGATATTGTCACGGTTGGGGCCAAATTGGGAAGGCTTGAATGTGGATTGTAGTCCATTGGGGATGATCTGGTTCCGTAGGCAGGTGCTAAGGAAGGTGATGTGGCTGTAGTACCTGGTTTGCTTCAGGACATGGTCGAGCAGTTTCAGGGCCGAAGAGATTACGAGAGAGTTGCAGTGGGAGAGAGATCCCTTGAGGTTTGTCCGGAGGGAGGAGGGTAACTTCTTCAGGCTAGGCATCCTTAGAAGAGGCTTCGCAGTGGGGTTAAAATTGAATCAGAGATAGTAGGAACTGCAGATGCTGGAGAATCCGAGACAACAAGGTGCAGGGTTGGATGAACACAGCTAGCCAAGCAGCATCATAGGAGCAGAAAGGACCTTCCTCACTGAATTCAGGCATTATGCAAATATTTCTTGCTAATTCAGAACTAGGATTTAAATCTGGACCAATGTCAAGCCTGCCCACTACTGCTTATTCATGTAATCAAAACCTTCTGAATTTATAATTCATTCTTTTTCATTTCTTCTTTGAAACTCCCTTTGTTCCTATTTCTTTCTTCTTTTTATAATCTTTCCCTTTAAAAGTTCAAATCTGCACGTTTTCCTTTCTCATTGTTTTTCCACTTTTCTCCCTTTGGAGTTCACGTTTTCTTTCCACTTCTCTTTTTTCCTGATGTGGAGGTGCCGGATTTGGACTGGGGTGGACAAAGTCAGATGTCACATGACACCAGGTTATAGTCCAACAGGTTTATTTGAAGTCACAAGCTCCTGACGAAACAGCAGCACTCCTTTTTCTCTAGATCTAACTGGAAGCAAATGGCCAGTCTACAAGACTTTTGTTTGATTGATTGATTGATTGATTTATTGTCATGTGTACTGGAGTATACTGAAAAGCTTTGTTTACGAGCAGTACAGGCAGATCATAGCAAGCAAGGATGTGCAGATCAAAGGTTGTAAAAAATTTAGACAGAGGCACACAGGTGCCATTGCACAGGGCAGGCGCTAGGCGAGATCAACATCAGCAAGATCAGCATTATTTGAGGCTAGAGAGTCCATTCATCAGTCTAATAACGGCAGGGAGGAAGCTGTGCCTGAACCTTCTGGTACGTGTGTTCAGGCTTCTGTATCTTCTGCCTGACGGAAGTGATTGTAGGAGATCATTACCAGGATGCAATGGGTCTATGATGATGTTGGCAGCCTTTCTACGGCAATGAGCTGTGTCAATGGAGTCCAATAATGGAAGGTTGGCTTCCATGATGGTCTGGGCTGTACACACAACTATCTGTAGTTTCTTATGGTCCTAGGCAGAGCAGCTGCCATACCAGGCCATTAGGCACCCACACAGTATACTTTCAATGGTGCATCTGTGGAAGTTGGTGAGGGTTCCTATGGACATGCCAAATTTCCTAAGCCACCTGAGGAAGCAGAGGCATTGTTGTGACTTCTTGACTGTCGTATCTATGTGGGAAGTCAGGGCAGGTTTTTGGTTTATCGTCACTCCAAGGAACTTGATGCTCTCCACACTCTCAACCTCAGTTCCATTGATGCAGATGGGAGCGTGTTCTCCTTTCTTTCTGAAGTCAATGTTCAGGTCTTCAGTTTTTCCAACGTTGAGAGAGAGGTTGTTCTCATTGCACCAAGTCACCAAGCCCTCTATATCCCTTGGAGATAGCAAGAACTGCAGATGCTGGCATCAGAGACAACACAGTGTGGAGCTGGAGGAACACAGCAGATCAGGCAGCATCAGAGGAGTAGAAAAGTCAATGTTTCGGGTTGGGACCCTGTTCCAATAAAGTCAACATTCCTACTCCTCTGATGCTGCCTGACCTGCTGTGTTCCTCCAGCTCCTCTATACCCCTTCTGTATTTTGACTCATCGTTGTTAAATATCCGTCCTACTACGGTAGGACATGATGGTGTTCATTTGGAATTTCACAACACAGTTGTGTGTACGGGAGTACGGTAGGGGGCTAAGAATGGATCCTTGGGGGGCTCCAGTGTTGAGTGTTATTGTGGAGGAAGTGCGGTTACCTATCTTCACTGATTGCTGTGTGTGGAGGCTTTGCTGAAATGTTTATAATATGCAGGGTGTTCAAAAGCCTTTGCAATAGATTAGGTGATCATTCTGAGTCACATCAATAGTCCAATAAAGTTATTCATTTTTAAAAGAAACAGAATTTAACACAATAATGTAGAAGAAAAAAACGTTTTTGGGGTGATTGCTCCTCATGCCCACTATAGCAGATCATTGTTATGTTGTGGAAGAGCTGCACAAATTGGAAATCATTTGGGCTGAGATGCTTTCTTTAACAGCTGGGTTACTGCCGATAAAATAATCCACTCTTGTTTATCAGTACTGGATTTTAGAAAAGCTGTTTACTAGAATGAGTGCTAGAACATGTCAGGTGATATTAGAAGTCAAACCACATAATAAAAGGGCTGGATTTATTTGCTTGCCAGGTATAGCAGACTCCTTTTCTTGAAGGAATTAGTTTTTGATGAATTATCAATTCAGGGAAGCTGCAAAATTAGTCTGTAAAACCATATAAGGATATTTAAAATATCTGAACAAATTGATAAATTATGCAGAAATATCTAGTTGATGCCTGTAACATTTATGAACTCTCCATAGGCCAATCAGATCATAGGGCTGCTCTCTCATTAAACAGAGATGATGCGTGGTGGTTTAACCTTAGGGTCATCATAGCTCAAGAAGGGGAGAGGCTAAGAAGAAAAGTCCTTCATGGTAACCTCAGGTGAAACATGAATTGAACCTACGCTGTTGGCATCACTCTGCATTGCAAGCCACTAGTCAGTGTCCGCAAAAGAAAAATATGTTTCCACTCAAAGGCATTATTTGCAGAAATGTCCCACACATAAGCAAGGGTAAGATATTGTTTCTCACAGCCAAACTATTACAAATATTTTACAAACAATAAACAATCACTATAATTATTTGATACTCACTTGTTTCTCTGTCATGGCCTTGTCATAGGCTGCCTGTACAATATCTAGTTCTGCTTGTTTAGCATCCAATTCCGCTTGTGCCTTCTGAAGATCTAACATGGCTATAGCCAGACGATTTTCCTGGATTGCCAAATTAGCCTAAAATAAATATATATGCATTTTTAGATTTCAAAACTTAATAATAATCATTGTAAGCGGTTGACTTCTCTTTTCTATAAAGTAAATGATTCTATAGCTATCATCTACAGTTAAGGCAATAACTTTTCTTGTTTTGCGATGCCATCAAGCATTACCTCTTTGCTATGATGCATGACTTCCTACTTACTTGCCTGATATCAAATCCTAAAATTTAAGAGCACATATTAAAGTTGGCCTCTGCCACCAACTCTGTTCTCTTGTGATTGATTCCAATCCTTGTCATGCCATATTCTCAAGCTGTTCACAACCTTGTCATATTGTACAATGTGGAGCTTTAAGCTACATATCTTATCCGTCATTTAGATCACTCACATCCACTTCTGCAACATTATCCATCTCCATTCTTACATGTTTTTGGCAGCATGGTGGCTCACAGCGCCAGGGACCGGGGTTCAATTCCACTCTCAGGTGACTGTATGTGTGGAGTTTGCACATTCTCCCCACGTCTGCGTGGGTTTCTCCCATGTGCTCTAGTTTCCTCCCACAGTCCAAAGACACACAGATTAGGTGGACTGGCCATGCTAAATGGCCCTTAATGTGCAGGGTAGGTGGATTAGTCATGGAAAATACAGGGTTACAGGGATAGGGGTAGGGGCGTGGCTCTGTGTGAGATGCTGTTCAGAGGGTAGGTGTGCATTCGATGGTCCAAATGGTCTACTTCCATACTGTAGGGATTCTATGCTAAAATCAACTAATTCAGCTCTTTTCTTATTAGTCTCACACCCTCTGCTTTACATAAACTTCAATTTGTTCTGTGTCTTGCAATATGCCTTATTTGACGATCACATTTACACTCTCTGGATGTCATCTGTATCCTGTCCTCTAAAATACTTAAAATTCTTGTCATGCTCTGCAACTTGTCTTCCACAAGCTCTTGTGGCACTGTAATCAACTGTAATAATTCCACACTTCTGATATTAGCCCTTTAATCATTTCCCAATATCCTCCACTCCAATCCCATCTAATGCTCCAAAATTAATTATAAAGCTTTTAGGAGTCTTGTGCTTGATCTCTACAACCTTTTCCATACATTTCTCTATCTTTTCTCCTCTCTCTTAATTTATAAAAAGCTCATCAAAAATTTTCCAGACAGATCTGTCATCGCTTACCTCAGCATTCATTCCCATATCCATCTAGGAAATGCCTTGGGACTTCTGACGTCACAACACTCACAAATTCAAATTATTGAGTTTGCCTACTCTAAATTATTCTGATACACTGGGATACAAATGAGGATTATTCACATAAATATATACAATGGATACTGCAACTAGAAATGATTTAACGGCTAGTAAGATATAAATGAAAGTCATAAGCTTTTTCTACATTTTTTTAATCTATGCTACAAAGTACATATGATGAAAACATTGTCCTTCTGCCAACTCTCCCACAGTACTATAAACATAGTTTTTGCAGGGAATAATCAAATACTATCACTTTAACATTCAATACTTTCACCTTGAAGTACCTTTAGTGGTAAAACCTCCTTGTTAATGGAGAAGAAGGAAGCCATTGCCTTAGTCCAGGAACAGATTCCTGCTACATTGCCACAGACTCTCTTGGCTGTTTCAATATTGTAGTCTGTCATTTCGAAGTATGGCTGAAGCAAATCAACAACTTCCTCATTAATTGTGTCTTTGGGAAATTGCTAGGATGATAAAACAACATGATTAAACATTTATGTGGAAAAAATTCAACTGTAGTCTCAGATATATTTGTGACCTTTTATACAACTATAATCTAAATGCAAATTTAAAGTATAACTTCTTCCAGCTTGAAAATACGATTCATTTGTTTTGTTATTCTATCAGAATGTACAGTGCAATTTCAGTACAAGTACATATTTTTTAAAAATGTAGTTAATAGCTGCAACTACAACATGCTAAATGGCAAGCTGAAATGTACACAAAGGACTTTCTTGCAAATTAACTTGTGTCTTTGTTGGATTATTACCATATTTTCGGCAGGGGTGATAATGAAATCTTAGGCCTTTCACTGACACTGGGAGCCAATTGCTTTAACTCTAATGTATCAGAAGCAGTGAAGCATGGAATGTAATGTGTGGGGAAGGTGCTAAGAGATGGGAGCACAGGGCAAGTGGAAGAGAAGAGGAACACATTTATTATTGATCCAAAGATCAGAATATCAAGAATGGCTTTGGCAATAACTACTGCTCAGTTTGTCCTATCCACACACACAGGAAAATTTAGCCAATAGGAAATTGATTAAAAGAAGAATGCATAAAGAGGTGATCACACAAAAACTTAGGGGCAAGCAGGCAGATGGGAAATAAGGGATCACCAGGCAGTAAAAGAGAAATGGGCAGGTAGTGAAGCAGTCCCCAGAGGTTCTGCTTGCTAAGCAATTTTCCATTCTGGCAAGGGTGATGATTCCTTGGAGGACAGCAAGGGCCAAACCTGTGGTATCACAGGTGGTCCAGCTGTACAGGAGGAAAGAATGAGGAGTGAGAGAGTAATGACGAGGGACTCTTTAGTTAGGGAACAAAAAGGCGTATCTGTGGCTGTTGATGTTGAGTCCAGGATGATACATTACCACCCTGGTACAAGCGCCAAATATGTCATAGAAGGCTGTGGGTGTTTACCTTCTATGACATATTTGGCCCTTGTACCAGGGTGGTAATGTATCATTCTGGACTCAACATCAACAGCCACAGGCTGTGGTAAACATTGCTGCCAATGACATAGATAGGACAAGGAATGTGGTTCTGTAATCAGAATTTAGGGAGCTCGGCTGAAAATAAGCAAGCTGGACCTCAAAAGTACTAATCTCTGGATTACTCCCAACACCATGTTCAAGCGAGTACAGGAAGATATTACAGATTAATTCATGGCTAGAAAGCTGGTGCAGGAGGGAGGACTTTAGATTTCAGGAACAGTGGGGCTGGCTCTGGGGGAGTTGGAACCTGTACAAATCGGACAGATTGCAGCCGAACAGAACGGGAACTGAATTACTTTTGGAGGGTTTAATTTAACTCAGCAGGAGTGTGTGAACCTGAAAAGAACAGCACTGAGTAATACTAAAGCGCTCAAAATACTGGGACAGGCAGATAACATTAGAATAGAGAATAGCACTGGATTGGTGTACATTTTCAAACCGTAGACCTTAAGAAATAGAAACAGGAATAGGCCATTCAGACAATCAAGCCTGCACCACTATTCAATTGGATCATGCCTGATCTGACACTCCTCATGTCCACTTTCCTGCCCTTTTCTGGTAACCCTTGATTCCCCTACTGATCAAGAATCTCTCTCTCACTCCCCTATAAAGATACATGAGAATTCTGTCCCCACAGCTCTCTGTGGAAAGGAGATCTGAAGACTCACAATCCTCTGAGAGAAGAAATTCCTCATCTCGTATATTTTGTATGAAGAACATGGAGAAACAGTATAAAACAAAAGGTTCTATTCTAGAGAGAGTGCAGGACCAAAGTGAATGTGGCTGGACAAGTAAAGAGAACAGTTCATAAAACATACAGTATTCTAAGCTTCATTAATTGGGGCATAGAACAAGCACAGGGAGGTTATGCTGAATTTATACAGACCACCTGTTAGACCTCAGCTAGAGTACTGTGTACTGTACTGGGAGGTGCACACTTTAGGAAGGATGTGAATACATAGGAGAGTGGAGAAATGGTTCACAAAAATAATTTTGGGGTGATAAACTTCAGCTATGGGGATAGCAAAAAAGAAGAAACTATTCCTGCTCCTAAACAGGTCAAGACAGAGGGTACAATTTTAAAATGTTTTGCAAAAGAAACAAACGTGAGTTGAGAAAAATCTTTCACACAGCAAGTATTTGGGGTCTAGAATGTACTGCCTTAATGTCTGGTGGAGGTAAGTTAAAATTGAGGCATTCAAAAGGGCATTGGATGATTATGTAAACAGAAATAACATGTGTTGTTATGGAGAAGGTGAATGGTACCATGCCAAAATGCCCAGGGCCAATGCAGACACGATGGACCAATTTGCCTTTATCTGCATGGGAACAACTGTGTGATTCTGAAAACAGGAGAAGCATATTTGCATACTCCTATGCACTCTAATAAGCCAAACAGGCAAAGTTAAACGCTTTAATTATTGCCAGGCCTAAAATATATTTAACTTTGAAATCACAATTGGCATTTTGAGTAATTCAAACAACAATTTTCTGATAACACATAATGGTTGTCTTTATCAGTGAATGCTTACATAATCACAGCTATTATAAACAATTAATACTTTTACAGCGAAAACACAAAAAGCAAAACCAAATAGTGTTTTATCCATACAAGAAAGACAGACTTGTTGGTTCAGGGGACAAATTTTGAAGCCTGTGCAGCTGGGGTTTGAAGGGAAAATGAGGAAGAATGTGTCATGCCAGTTTGCTGGTGTCTTTTCACCTCTGGCTGTTTCCCCAGGAGATGTTTGGTGGAGTGTTTCCCATCCCCTGCAACTCCCACCTCCAACCATGCCATTAGGGAGTCATTTAGATAGATTTCTCTAGTGGAATCCCTCTTTTTCAATAGTACAGCGGTCTCACATTATGGTCTCCCAACCTGGTAGTTAGGATGAGGTGAGAGCACTGTGGGTGGGAGTATCTCAGACTGACATGTTGTGAAGTCTTTGATCAGTTGTACTGAAAGCTGCAGAAGGGTCAAATGTGACGCTGCCTCGAAAAGTACTCTTCTACCACTAAGGCACAGGGATGGCTTACACAGCTACTCCTCCCCATCATCTGTCTCTCCAGGGTAAGGGCTTTCCATTGCAACACACACCAACTACAGTTGGAATGGCACCAACGGCAGGACCAGCAACCCTTTCCCCAGCCACATTCCCCTTGACAAAGCAGAGGAAAGTGGTACTGAGGTGCAGGTGGAAAGAAAAACAATTCCCAAAAACTACTGCTTCAGGATGTACAGGCTGTCAGGTCATTGCTGATGTTTTCATCTTCAGTGCAAAACTGCCATGCTAGCAAACCAGGAAAGTATGTATTGCCAGCATTTGACAAAGTGCCTGACAATAGGGGACCAGTACCCGGTCTCTGCCTCCACAATCCCCAGTCAGTGATTCACACCAAGTTGTGCAATCATGCTATGATTACCCCTACACTGGGGAATCACTAATTAATCTTCTCGTGGAGCTCAGAGTATGAGTTCTTCCCTTGGTAACAGGCAACGGCCTGCCCAGCTGGAACGAAGCACCTGAGTGTCCTTTTTATAGAGCAGACACAGGTCCTCTTGTGACACTGTGGTAGTGTCACTACCCCTGCAGCAAGATGCATGGGTTCAAGTCCCACCTGCACCAGAAGTGTGTAATAGCAATTCTGACCAGGTTAATTAGGAAAAGTAGGTTTAAAAAAAAGCTTACATAGAGCCGACCCGCCAGAGGAAAAGAACAATAAAGTTGACCTACTACGCGGTTATGTTTGTGTCCAGGTGTCCTTGGAGATGGAACACACGGTGTCCATCAATGCTCTTGATGTTTTTGGAGAAAGGCGGGCACCGTAGCGATTCAGTGCTTTATTTCCCCCTCCAACTCCATTTTGATTTCGTCCTTTCCTGCAACCCATGCCCATCTCATTTTTCTACCCAACCTTACTTTTGATGGTTCGCATTGCCCATAATGGGAATTGCTTGTAAATATTTAATGTGCTACATGGGTGATCACTGGTGATGGTTGCTAGTTCAAAAAAATAAGAAAAATAAATTCATAGCTATTTTGGTGGTGCGAAGTCGCTCAGCTGTGTGTGATAGTACTTCCGGATATACAAAAAATTTTTTTAAAATATAAAATATACCCTACATGCCAGGGGGTCATTGGAGAGGGAACATGCAGTGTCCACCAATGCTCTGCTTGGCTTTATAGACAGGTGGACACCGTGGGGGATACAGTGTATTATTTCTCCATCCAACTTCATTATGATTTAGCCTCATTCCACTCTCCCTACCCCCTGCCTTCACTTTTGATGGGCTTTGCATTTAAACTTCTTATTGGCTGCATGGGTCATTACTGCTGGTGGTTAATAGTTAAAAACAGAACATAAAAGTCACAGTGACTTGGTAGTGGGAAAGTTGTTCGGTTGTGTGTGATAACACTTAATGGATATAAAAAATAAGGCAGACCCCCAGGATTCTTAGTAGTGGTAGTGTACCTACATCTGTGCCAGGAATCCTGGGTTCAAATCCCACCTGTTTCAGAGATGTGTCATAATCTCTCTGAACAGAGTGATTAGAAAATACATAATGTAGACCCCCATGGATTCTTGTGGGACAGTAATAATGTCCCTATGTCAGATCCAGGAGGCCTGGATACAAGTCCCAGCTGCTCCAGAGGTATGTAATAACATCTCTGAACACGTGGATGAGAATGTATCTATACAGCCGTCTCCTTTTACTTTTGATGGTTTACATTGCTCATAATGGACTTTGCAAGTAAATTTCTAATTGGCTGGGGGGGATTACTAGTGATGGTTAATAGTTAAATGCAAAAAAAAAGTTACAGTGATTTGGTGGTGGGAAAGACATTCAGTTGTGTTTAAGAGTACTGCTGGGTATAAAAGAAAATTTAAAAAATGCAGCAGACCCAACAGCTCTTGTGGTGCAGTGGTGGTGAACCAGGAGGCCTGTGTTCAAATTCCATTTGCTCCAGAGATGTGTAATAACATCTCTGAACAGTTTCATTAGGAAAATATCTATAAAGCAGACCCAAGGATGGGTCTGCAGAACTGTCTATTCCAGACTCATATAGTGGCTCTATTTTGGCGCTCAAAAATAAACAATGTTCCTTTCCAGTCGAGCTTTCCAAGTTATTACACATGCCATTATGTTCCTGAAAGGACAGGAATCAGGAGATAGGAGTTTTAGGTATGATTTTTGTCCAGATAGGTAAAGGACATTTGTTCATGGTGACTGTGAAATATTGGTGCAAGAGACCAATTGACTCAGGGTGAAAAAGAGAGAGAGAGAGACAGTACACTGCTCAAATGAGGTGCCTGCACAATCGAAATGAGTCCAGCTGCAAGCTGCACTGACCTGAGCAGTGTGGTGCAGGAGAATGCAGTCAGTGTGTGGGGTCTGAACTGAAGCTTCACTCCATTCACCTGCCATACTCTTCAGTGGACCTAAGTCCTCTTGCGAGCTGTCTCTGGGTTAGAGGATCCACACTACTCCTGCTGACTTCTTCAGCCAATTCTATCCATGGATGAATGATATACTAGTGGATGCAGTAGGTATGGGACTATACACAGATCCACTCTGGAAAAGGGAAAAATCTCCAGCCAGCTGCTTTAATCAGAGCAAATCAATTAAGAACCTGCCTCCAAGCTCCTCATTTAGTTATGAATCATTCCCACCTTCCCTGATTGAATGAGGAGCCAAGGCAGGTCCTGAATTGATTTGTTCTAGTAAAGAGCTATCGTCCAAATGAGCAATCCAGCAATCAGGTTCATAATGTGAAAATGATACCGATGGCTGAAAAGAAAATCTAAGGTAAAAAGATTCCATTTTTGAGCCTCTAAATAATTCGGCTACCTGGAGGTTCTGTAAAAAGTTTCCTGCTGTCATGAGCTTTAGGGACTCTTGCCAAGAAGGTATGATGCAGCTTCTCTCAACATCTATTTTCACAGAGTTTACTTTTCGTTGGAATAGCAACAGTACACAGTCCATAATGCGCATGATCAGGTGAGGTGGTCTACCCAGTGTACGGACAGTGGCAATATCAGCTGGTTTAATGGTCTGTGGGCAAAATTACAGGAAAGAAATAAATATAACAAAGCACAATTTTAAGAAAAGAAGAGACACCAATTTTACCTAACACGCATGCTTGAGTTCTATAACTAATACAAGTTCTAACTGAAATTTTGCTTGATTCCAAGTCTGGTCAATCATGTCAATGTCACAAAATCCAATTTATAGAAAACCAAGTTAATCATTTCTAAACAATGCCCAGAGAATTTGTATAATGACTGTCTGCAGAAAGTAAATCTAGATTATGCAGAAAATATCAGTTATCTAAGGTGCATGTTTTTGTTGCTATGATGAATTATTTTCTAATCTTACAAAATCATTTTTTCAGATTGCCTAATGCTATACAGATTATCTTGCTAATGTTTTAACTCTATGATAAATTCAAAATTCATTGCATTTGTGTCTATGTCTTAAAGTGGGTTATTCTCATATGTACTTTGTTTTTGAAATATTCTAATACTCCTAAATTTTCAATCTCTGACTACAGTGGCCTTGGTAAAAGAGCTTTGTCTGCAAAAAAAAAAGTTTAGAACAAAAAGATGAAAAGTCTCTGCAGTATTTTCAATACAATTGACATTACGCAACATTATTAACAAATGCATTGATATTTACCCAAGTAAATCTTTTGACCACTATCACAACACAAGTTTTGGTTTTATTGAATTCATATTTGTACTAACACAATGTATCACCTAGTCCCAACATTCAAAATCACCAATACAGCTACAAACCCCATCCTGCTGCTAAGAAGGAGACCCTCTGGAAAATAGTAGAAAATCATGGAGGGCCAGTGATGGGTGGTCACTGTCTTCACACATTCAGTGGGATAAATTAAAATCTTCCCCCGAGCTACTTGTTGCTTGAGGATCCAGCTTGCGGGGCCTCAGTGTGCACGAACACTTCTTTTGGCACTTGCACATGAAATGCTCTTTGAACATGACTGTTTCTTATAACAAGGAATCACTCAACATTTGAACAAATGTCTGTCTTAAAAGAATTATTCTGAATATTAAAGACAACAGCAGCAGGTGAGATAACAAGGTGTAGAGCTGGATGAACACAGCAGGCCAATCAACATCAGAGGAGCAGGAAGGCT